AGGAGAAAAAGTGCATGATAATGTTATTGTACAAATTATATTGTAACATTTGTGTATGGAATTTAATAAAGCTAAATAAATAAATAAATAACTGTTGATGATAGAATTTTAAAAACCTTTTTATGTTATTTTTGTATTTTTTTTGTATAATTATTTTTGTTAAATATAAACTACTAATTTCTACCTCATATGTAAAAAGAGTTGGTAGTTTTTAAGTGGAAAAAATAAAGTGAAATTTGAGAGTAGTTTGGCATATAGTACGTCGACCGGCGAACGAACTGTGCCCACCCATTTTGTGAAACTTTTATTTTGCTGCACTGCTGCTGCCGCCATCCCTTACACTAACCTTCAATCTGTTTGGATATTTCCCACAGCATATCTATTTCTTTAGGTGAAGCGTTACCGTCCACGAATCTGCAAATAAAAATAATAAAGGTAAAGTAATAGTAATAATTCAATAAAATAAAACAATAAATAATATAAAGATTACGGTAAATGTTGAAAATTGGTCTTACATTTTATACACTGTATTTTAGATTCAAAAAGAAACCTGAATAACAATTTTTCACATATTACTTACATTATCCAAATATATTTTAATTTATATAAACTATTATACAATAATTCCTGGTAAGGTCTTTTAAAAGGCATTTAAAATGGTTAAAGCCTTTTGGATTAGCTTTTTTTACGTTTATGTTTAATTTCATCATTATTTGAAATAAAAATTAGAAACAAGTTAATTTGTCATTTTGTCTGAATGTTTTAATATTTTCAATAAGAAATTAATAAGCATATTCTTGAATTACAACATGATTTTAAATAATTATTTTCATAATAAAAAGCCCTTACAATACACTTGTAAACTAAAAGCTAAATTGGATAAAGCCATCATGCGGGAAAAGGACATAAACTACAAAAATCACAAAACAGTAAAGAAACAAAGTTGCTATGGTTACTAAAACTTAGCTAATATAAAAAAAAACTATTCAAGCATTTGCATTAACATACCATACTAGCTGTTCCCATGCGACTTTATCCGCAAAAATTATAAAAAGTTCACTTTATTGTTCACATTTTTCAAATTATCAATTGCAAAGGTCAAAATGACATGACATGTTGTCAAACCATCTTGATGTTGGCAGCAACTTATGGTCTCTTTCCCACATTAGGGTTTTTATCTAAAATATTTACCCCTAAGTTTAACGGCGTGAAAACATATAGCCTAAAGCGTGACGTAAGTGTAGGGCTTTTTATTAAAAAGAGAATTATTCAAAAATATGCTGTAATTGCTGACATCTTAGGCAACAAAGAAGTGTGTGTTTACGCTTTATTATAATAGTATAGATTATAGTTTACAAAATTTAAACAAAATATAGAACTGAGCACCTTTTTTTGGGAAATAGAAGCGGGATCAGTACCTGTATATAATTTTGTTCATCCAGGAGACCCCCTCGCGGCACGGCGTGCACTGTCCGCACGACTCGTGCTTGTAGAACATGATGAGGCGCGCGATGGCCTTCACGATGTCGGTGGAGCAGTCCATGACTATGATGGCGGCGGTGCCCAGCGACGTCTGCGCGCCCACCAGCGCGTCGAAGTCCATCAGCACCTCGGAGCACACGCTGCACACACATACCGTCAGTCTTCATAATATAATAAATGCGACTTTCGATTGTTCGAGTTAGTAGCCTAAACTGAACGTTTGAAATTTGTACATATTTTGACAACGCGAAACAATATACTTATAAGATACTTTTTAATGAATACGAAAAGTCAGCTAACTGCTTTTTATGCCACTAGCTGATGCTCGCGACTTCGCATGAATTTAAAAAAAAACATTAAAAATATATAGCTTATGTCACTCACCGATAATATTTTAATGGTGAAAGAATTTTTAAAATCGTCTCAGTGGTTTTTGTGTTATTTCAAGAATACAAATCTTTCTTTATAATTTTAGTATAGACATAAAAAACAAACTATATTACAGTTTGTAGTGTTTGTCCCGGAGTTTTTTTCTGTAAGTGTACATAAATCTATAGAAATATTATATAGAGGAAACATTCCTATTTTTGTATGTATAGAAATAACTCAAATACCACTGTGCGAATTTTCAAAATTCTTTAACCATTAAAAAGCTGTCATCAGTAAGTGACAAAGGATATTTTATCGACGCGTACGAAGTCACGAGTAACAGCTGTAGCAATTAATTCGAATAGAATTCCCCTCACTCTTTGGGTATTAGGGGTGTGGAGGAGCCCCCGGGGATGATGGCCAGCAGGTTGTCCCAGCCGCCGGAGACGCCGCCCGCGTGGCGCTCGATGAGCTCGCGCAGCGGGATGCTCATCTCCTCCTCCACGGTGCAGGGCGTGTTGACGTGCCCCGAGATGTTGAACAACTTGGTGCCGGAGTTGCGCGTGCGCCCGAACGACGCGAACCACGACCCGCCGCGGCGGCAGATCGTCTACAAGTTTACACAATTCACTCTACAGAATCTTACTAATTTCAATAATGTTTTAAATGCGAAAGTTTGGATGGATGGTTTTTGCATAGATGTAGAGGGCAGTCTGGAAAAACACGTAAGCTGTTGACTTTTGTTCTTTTTTTTTAATTCTACGCGGACGGAGTCGCGGGCGAAAGATAGTAATAATGTAAATGCAAAAATTTAAATGGACGTTTTTTATAGTTTATAGCCTGAATGGATCTTGATAAAATTTGGCTTAAATGTAGACCGTCTGAAATAACACATAAGCTACTTGATTTTCTTTATTTTTTAATTCCACGCGGGCGAAATCACGAGCGAAAGCTAGTTAGAAAATTTACTATTATATTATAAATGCTTACTAATTATAAATGCACAAAAACTTAACAAATCTCAATGTAATTTGACATAGATGTAGAATACAATCGGGAAGGCTACATAAGATTGTAATAAACTTTTTTTTTTAATTTAGACTGAGTCCCGGGTAACATTGTATTTATATTAAAAACAGCAAAAACTCATAGTTAACCATTTATCCTTATACTCAGTCTACATTTCCATATATTTATACTCACAGGTGAAACAGCAATAGTTTCCACATTATTGACAGTCGTAGGGCATCCGAATAGCCCCACATCAGCCGGGAATGGCGGCTTGAGACGCGGCTTGCCCTGCTTGCCTTCAATCGACTCAATGAGTGCCGTCTCCTCACCACAGATGTATGCACCAGCTCCGCGGTGCACAAACACATCAAAATCGTAACCAGAGCCACATGCGTTACGACCAATCAGACCTGCTTGGTAAGCCTGAAAAGATGTATAAACAATTCTCTGGTAAATATATTATTTAAGTTGTTTGATGGTTTATTATTGAATCCCTTAGATTTAGTTTTAAACTAAGATTTTTTTTTAATTACGTAGTAAACCTGGTAAATAATTCCATGTAATTGAAGAATTCTATTTAAGCTGTCTACTATTGAAATATAGAGTCCTTTAGATTTAGTATTAAAAGCAAAAGAAGCTTTAATAACTATAAAATATTACTAATATTATAAATGCAAAAGTTTAAATGGATGGATGTTTGTTAGATGGTATCTGAGAAACGGCTCAATAGATCTCAATAAAATTTACACAGATGTAAAACAAAGTCTGGAAAAACACATAGGCTATTTTCTTATGTTTATTCTGTGCAAATTATTGTATTTGTTCTAATTCAACAAGTAAAAAGTTAAGCAATTTCAGTTCTTTTAACTTAGGATGTATTACTTTGAAATATTACCTACCTCAGCAATAGCCACTTGCAAGTTACTAGCTTCATTATAAAACTCTCCACGGATATAAATGTATGCAGCCTGAGCACCCATAGCCCGACCAGCTATCAGACACCCTTCAATCAACTTGTGTGGATCATGTCGCATGATTTCACGATCCTTGCATGTCCCCGGCTCACCCTCATCAGCATTCACTACCAAATACTTTGGACGTCCATCTGATGGCTTGTTCATGAACGACCACTTCATACCAGTAGGGAAACCAGCACCCCCGCGACCTCTGAGACCTGATGTCTTGAGTTCATCTTTAAATGAAAAAGAAAATTTTATGTTATCAGAAAGGATGATTGCTTACTTGTAAAACTTTATTATTATTTTAATTTACTATAGATTAAATATTCGTGTGGTGTAATCATCACAGAATAAATTTCCTATTGCATTATATTTAATTACAGTTGAAGCTGGATAAACCAAATTCCTAGGTTTTTTTTTTTGCTTTTAGAGATTTTTTCACTTATAGGGGTTATCTAATGGGACCAGACTCTCAGTTATAGGTTTCTTACTCATCCAGTTTCGACTGTATAAACCAATTTTTTTTTAACAGATATGCAAATTTTAATTCCTTGTTAGTAGTAGTTAGCAAACAAAATACAACAGATTATGTTATATAGTGTACATTAATGTATTGCGTACTTCTTTAAATATTATAAAAATACTTACTGACAATCCAATCAGTCCCTTTCATTAAGATCTCTTTAGTCTTGAACCAATCTCCTCGTTTGAGGGCACCTTTCAGTCGCCAGTCGTGACGCCCGTAGAGGTTCGTGAAGATACGGTCGCTGTCCGCCAAAGGTCCAAATTTCGTCTTGGTTTGTTGGAATCGAACTGACCCATTGTTGATGTTCACCAATGGACCAACGATGCCTGTAATATGTCAAAATTATGTAAGCAATTTATCTACGTATTTAATTTAATAATAAAAAAATTAATGCTTTTTATTCATCGCCACATTATTAAGAGATAAAAAGATCTCAGATTATGAGGGTTTAATACTTAAGATTAAATAATACTTACCCAAATGCGATTTAGTGCCCTGAATTACCCTCGTCAACGCACCAGCCATTTTTCAAATGTCAAAATGAATGTCACTTTAATGACAATAACAAGAAATTGTATGACATTTCTCAAAGAGTAAATACAGCTCCACTGTTATTACATTTCCACTATTTTAAGTTATATAAAGTTTTAATTTATTCAGACATTTCACTTTCATTTCAGTGTTTACTAGTTATTTTTAAGAGTTATTGTAAGTAATTCAGCTATGTAATAATGTTTCAATTATTACTCAATTTCTTAAATCAACGTTTGGTGGATCCTATCTGTGGTTTATGTTTATTTACAAGACGTCAAATGATAAAAAAGCAATAAGTATTTTAATCTTATCAAATTCATTTGATATATCCAATTTATCGTTATATATCAGGAAACCTTTGACCCTCGTTTATTTTCTTTAAAATGTCACCTGTGATTCCAACTGTGACCAGACTCTCAAGTAGAATTATACGGATATTAGGATGTAATCCCGGGCCCATGACCCTACAAGGGACGAATACATATTTAATTGGAACCGGAAAAAAGTATGTAAAACCATAAAACCCTACCTTGTCATCTACTATTTGCTGTTCTTTTTTAATATCGAATAGCTTTTTCAGATATTATCTTGTTTATTTTAATTTTTAGTCGCATTTTATTAGACACAGGTGATAAAAATGTTTCCGAGTACCAGAAAAATTTGAAAGATGTGGTACAGACGGAACAAGTTAATATTGAGCATATAGTTCTTACGCATTGGCACCATGATCATATCGGAGGGGTTGAGGACCTATATGGAACTATTGCTAGTAAGTTAAGAAATGCAGATTCCTAGCATTAAATTTGTAATTACTTAACTTCACTCAAGGTTGTATAGCAAAGAGTATAAACAATTGGTATTATTAAAAAAAAACTATTACAGAACAACCAAAAATATGGAAGCACAAGCGAAGTGCAGAGGACAATAAAGATGACTCATTATCAGTGCCTATAAATTGGTTGTCCGATGGCCAACAAATTGAGGTTGAAGGTGCAACTGTCAAGATACACCATACACCAGGACATACAACTGACCATGTTGTACTTACTTTACTCGAAGACAATATATTGTTCAGTGGAGACTGCATCTTAGGTGAAGGTACTGCAGTATTCGAAGATTTATATACTTACATGAAAAGTCTTAATAAAATATTAGCTTTGAATCCAAATGTCATATATCCTGGCCATGGTAATATTGTTGAGGTAAGTAAATAATAATTTTATGAATTCATGTATGATTTTAAATATTTTTAGTACTTATAAGATAAACAAAAATAACCATACGAAAAAAAAAAACATTTAAATAAAAGAATATCATGTAAATCACAATTATCAATTTTTTGTGCCACTTCTTAATAATAGCTGTTCCCCTGCGACTTCATCCGCATGAAAAAGTTATTTTATTGTTTACCTTTGTCAAATTATCAATAGCAACTGTCAAAATGACATGACAAACCTTAGCAACCTTGCTTCCTTGATGTTGGCAGTAACTTACGGTCTCTTTCCCACATTAGGGTTTTTATCCAAAATATTTACCTCTAAGTTTAATGGCGTTAAAATATATGGCCTAAAGTGTAACCTAAGTGTAGGGCTTTTTATTAAAAAAAGGATTATTCACAAATATGCTGTAATTGCTGACATCTTAGGCAACAAAGAAGTGTGTGTTTACGCTTTATTATAATAGTATAGAAGTATAGATTACACTATCAACACCCATCTAAAAAAGTTTTTTATGTTATTTTGTTTTCAGGATCCTATAGAGAAAATAGAATACTACATTGCTCATAGGAATTTAAGAGAGAATCAAATTTTGGAAACATTGAAAAATAACTCTGAGAAACAGCTTACAGAAATAGATCTGGTCAGGATAATCTACACAGATACTCCGGAACATTTGTGGCCGGCCGCAGCTTATAACGTCAACCATCATTTACAAAAACTTACCAAAGAAAACAAATTAAAAGAAATTGAAGTTGACGGCGAAAAAAAATGGCAATATTTAGTATCGTCTAATTTATAAACATCTTTTAACTTGGGTTTGTTAAATTTTTATATTGGATTCGGAATTTATTCATTTTTTGTTATTCAATTTTTTTAATGAAAAAATGCACTTTTTTTTCATATTGTTATAAATTTTAATAAAAACAAAAAATTATTTAATGTTTAGTTTTTTTTTAGTAAAAATAATATACCATTTATAATTTATAGTGATGATATATTTACTAGTTATAAGTAATGAATAAATAGTCTAGCGACTGCGCTTGGGCGGCGGCATCTCGGAGTCGTCGTGGAAACTCCTCTTGTTTATAAAATCTAGCAGGTACTCTTTTGTAACTGGGTTACTTATACTCTCCCAAACAGCTGGAAATAACAAGTAAAGGAAAAAATTTTATTGATTTATAGAGAAAGATCTAATTTAAATAGAATTCCACTATATTATGTTTGTTAACCTTTGACTAAACTATCGCACAACTGCACAATCGCACGATTGGCGATTGTCGATTATTTCGCAGGCAATTCAACTGTTAAAAATTTGGTATTGCTAACCTCCATATAAGCTTATAGGAATAAAACCGCGACTAAACAGTTTTTTTTTTTACTTAATTTTAGTTCTGTCAAAGGTGTGTACTCTCTTAGTCAAATTATTTTTAGATAATCGTAAACTAGCTATAGTTTTCTGGTAAGTGTGTACTGTATTTCGAAAAAAACTCATTTTTAATAACAAAAAGGGGAATTTTTTTAAAGAGTTAACATTAAAAATAAATATTACCCATGGCGGTGTTGCGACTATTGGGAAATGATTTATCTGTCCTCTCTCTCATAAACACCCACTGGCCGTTCTCAAACTTGCACTCTATTATCTTGTTGTTCAAATGTTTCATTTGCTTTGTTATTTTTATATTGCCGATCGGAGTTTTCTCACGGGACACGTAAAGGAGGCCAATTTTCTTTGGCAGCATACTGAAAAATAACTCACTTTTATTCTGTAACCACAATATGTTAGCCGGAGTAAAGTGTAAAAAAACGGTATGAAACTGGCTAGCCCAATTTCATACCTTTTTTTTACATTGATTAAGGGTAGGAAACACATTTGCACATGTGAATGTCTATGGGCATCAGTGGTTTCGACATTTTGGGAAATTCTGGTGACCACTTGTTCACTTCTTACCTTGCATTACAAAAACAATTTTTATTTTTTTTATTTTTGTTCTTTTTCTTAAGACATTAAAGTTGTTTAGTTAAATGTTAACTTACCCAAGTCCACTTTCGGTGGTAATTTTCAATCTAAAGTCAACACTATTCATGTCGCTTGGTTTCCATTTCAATACTTCGTCCGACGCGCCTGCCACATAGCCCTGTCATGAATTTATAAAAAAATTTAATATATGAGTAATCTTACATTACAAATACAGAAGTTTAGATAGCTAGATGGGTAGGGGTTACAAACATCTCCGGAACCGGTAATTGGATTTCGATTTCGCATAGATTTAGAATATAGTCTAGATCGAAAAAAAGGTTAGTGAGTAGTCGTATGTAGAACACGACGTATACTACTACTCGTACATACGACTACTCACTAACCTTTTTTTCGATTACGCGCGGAAATCTTCTTATAAAATAAATCATAAAGGCGTTTTACCAGATGACTAAGAAATTTGTAAAAACAGTATAAAGAGGAAAGATTTGTATTTTTGAATGTAACTAATAAACTCAAAAACTACCAGTTCGATTTCAAAAATTCTTGGACTATTATAAAACTAGATTAATACTGAGTAACATAGGCTATGTTTTATACTAGATCTTTTTTAATTTCTATGCAATAGAACGTTTGTAATACATTTCACGCCCCTTTTTTTCTAATTCAAGTGTTAAATATTTAACAGAATATCACTGACCTCTTTAGATGGTTGAAATATAAGTCCATCAGGTTCATGGCATAGTTTCTTGGTGAATTTCTCATCTAGTAAATAATGCGTCATGCTTAAGTCCCAAAACTCCTTTAAGTGGACACTAAAGGGACCTTTACTTATCATACCGCTGCCAATTGCCCTATTTCTGAAATCATCGCATATCTATTAAAAATTGTTATGGAAAAAAAAACTACGAAATATAAAAAAAATCGCTATTTTTTTTTCTTAGGAAAAATTAAAAAAAAAACCCTTGATTTTTTTTTATACAGTAGAACCTCAAAACTCAAACCTCGGTAACTTAAAAACCTCTATAACTTCAAAAAATAATATGTTCCCTTCACATCAGAGCCCAAAACCTCTACAACATAGACCCTTGATAACTTAAAACCTCTATAACTTAAAATATTTTGTGTTTCCCTTGGACTTTAACTTAGCGAGGTTCTGCTGTAATAGCAAATTATGTAGTGTTTTTATAATATAGCTAGATTCAAATGCTTATTACCTGGGATTCATAATTTCCTTTTCTATACACATTAACCGAACCGGATAGAAAGACTCCCGGCCTACATTTTGATTTTCAAATCGGATAATATCATAGCATAGATATCTATGTTTCTCTTCACCGTCCTCTTTATCTACAACCATTTCCTATAAAACGAAAAAAAAGTTTTTGTTATTATACTAAAAGGTAACAAGCATATTGCCACTTGAATACGCCAAAAATACCTTTGCCCATAAAAAAATAACAACAAAAAACAATAAATAGCATTTTTACCCCATCAAGGAGAGTATCTGTCAAATGTTTCATAGTCTTGTTGTGTAGAAATATCAGTCCGTCCACTTTGAATATTGAAAAATCTCTGTCTAACATGAACACTCTATCTTTGCCGTCAATTAACATCATGTACCTGGAGAAACAAAACATACTATTTACTACAAAGAGATTGTCATATAATTCAAACGTTGTAATACAAGTCTTAGGGCCTGTCCCACCATATTGTAAATTGTCAGATAAGAATCCAACATGTAAAATATGAGATAGAAAATTCGGATTTGACGTCATTTTTAAGCTATCTGAGCCTCTATCAGCCAGCGGTGGGACAGGCCCTCAGAATTATAAAGTTTAGATGGATGGATGTTTATTAGAGTTTGTAGCCTTAATGTCTGAACAGATCTTTTTAATTCTATGCAAACGGAGCCGCGGGCGAAAGTTAGATTTATTATAAATGCGAATGTTTAGATGGCTGGATGTATATTAGAAGGTATCTCACATAAAGGATTTCGATGAAATTTGGCACAAATGTAAATCAAAGTTTGTAAAGACATAAGTTATTTACCTTTTTTTTTTTATTCTTCGCGGACAGTGATGGGCAGAAGCTAGTATTAATATAAATGACTCACCTAACACCATCTGCTTTCCACGACACTCGGTAAGGTTTTAGTTGCAGATAACTGATATTTTCCACTGTCATTGACACCGGCTGACATCCTGGAAAACCTTTGCCAGTCCATTTGCAAAAGTTTTTAGCCTTCTGCTGTATACTAAGTACATCATCTTCATTTTCATAAAAATTAACTCCATGAATAGGTGGGATAAACTCTTTAGGTTTCATATGACCTTTCTTATTTCTTCCTCTGTCATGTCTGTAATTTGGTATAAAGTGAACAGTTATATTGTTTTGATCCGTAATAACCTCAAACTAAACACAAAGGTAGTCCCTTAACATAACCTTACTGGGGCAGAAACTTACTTAAATGATGAATTTGCCTCAGAATGTGATGCATGTGATGAATTAGCCTGCGACTCATCATCATCATATTCCTCTTCATCTTCTGCAAGCAGTAACAATTATTCTAAGCATTGATATACAAAAACAAATCCTAACTAAAGCATCAAAGTGTATGCATTTTGCTAAGTACATTTTTTCTTTACTCACATAATATCTATCTCGGTGTACTAATATTATAACTAAAAGATTTGTATTTTTGTTTGAGAATTGACATAACTCAAAAACTACTGGGCCAACTTCAAGAATTCTTTCACCATTAAGAAGTTACACTATCAGTAAGATGAGATGAGGCTATATATATTTTTTAATTTCACGTAAATGAAGTCACAAGCAACAATTGTATAAACAAAAATAAATTTGAATTAACATTTAATTTACCATTACACCACTGTGGCCTCTGCATTGCTGTTGGGGGGAAGTCTGCACTATCTTCGTACCGTTTGTATAGCTCATCCAAGTAATCCTGCTTGTAGATACCTGGCTCTCTGTAATTTACATGTCACTTAAATAGATAAGCCACTTAATAAAATAATTTAAAAAAAAATTGACTACTCATGACCTGGCTGAGTATAACTGCCATATAATATAATATTGACAATCAAAAAATATAGATACATTTAAAAATTAATTTTAACAAGTCGTTATTAATGATAGTTGCTCCTCCCAGATCCAACCTAGGTCATCAGACTAACGTCTTTGTAGCCAGTGTATGGTTTAGTTAAAATCGGATTTAAATTTTTTTTTTAAATCTATAAAGCAAGAGCTTTTACCGTTTGGTGGCAAATTGATGCAGCGCAGCATCTAAGCTGAAATCCATTTCCTCCACCATGAAGGATACAATTAAAAATCCTGTTCTATTAAATCCATGTGTGCAGTGAACACCAATCATATCATCTGGATTTTGATTCATAAAGTTGTTGACAGTGTCAATAAAATGCCTGAAATTTTTTATAAACATCCATCAAAATTCTACTAAGAATCAGTTTCTTAAATAAATTTAAATACAATGGTGTATATATCTCAGAAATTATTTAGTTTTTTTTTTGTAATTCTATGTGGACTAAGTCAGGGGTGGCTGCCAGTAGGATAAATTTACCTTGTTTGTTCCCTTGTAGGTGTCTCACCATGACCTCTACAAGCCATCTTAATATATTTGCATCCATTCTTTTCTATCTCACTCTTGTCATAAAATCTCGATGTATTCGTCAAGTCTATCCACAGACCTAATTTTATCTGAATTGAAGGTAACAATATATTATGACGATGAATTTGTTGGTAAAAACTCTGTTAATTCAAGTATGCACAATATTTAAAACATAATGTTGCTGTGATCTGTTATTAAATATAGTTGATCATATATAAGCTTCAAGATGAAGTGAAAAGGGAAGCTAAATTGGATTTTTCAACAAAATATTCTTTGTATGATAGGTACAGATCAGACTAAAGTACAAAAAAGAATTATTTTATGGTATGTAAGTGTGCCATAAATTGCTATAATAATACTCGATTAGTAAATTACCTATATTAATTAATTATACAGATATTTTTTGCAATTAAACTTTCTATTTACGATAGATGACGTTCCAAATAATGAATACGCACCTTTAGGTCTCTCAGATTTAAAAATAAAATGGATGGCGTGAATCGATTTTCGACTGGAACTTTCTCATTGAAATGAGGACCCAAGGGTGTCTTAAATGCTAAGAACTTTTCGGCAATAAGTCCAGCAGCTTTTCGTGGGCAATTTAGCCATCGACTTGGTATTGGCCCAGAATCCCTTTGTGACATTTTGGGATTTATGTTTAGTGTTGTGTATTTTTAACAAAACACTATTTATATTTTAGAAGGTTATTTTTTAATTATAAAGCACATTTATATGTTTTCTTTTATTGACAAAAAAAGTAAAACGTTATAAAATATCTCTCGGTGAAATGTACACAATTTTCTACATTCATCTGTCGATCAGCGTTTGACAAGTCAACATTTGACATCGATTTGAGAGATTGCAACATTATGTTATCAATCAAAGAGTAGACTCAAAAGGATCTCATTACCTAAAAAAGTAGTTTTTTTATGTTTGGATTTTTTTCGGTGATGATAAACGTAGGGCTTTGCAACTTAATCACGAAAATGAATTTGAATTGAATGATAAAAATTCAAATCTCAAAAGGTTTAAGTTCAAGGTTTAAAATAACAATTTTCATGCACGCAACATTACAACAAGATATTTAAGCTTAGACTGTGTTTGCACTAAGCGAACGAGTATCTATTCTATTACAATTTTTTGGTCCAAACGGACTTTTTACTATCCCTGTACAAGGGGTTTAAGGTTTATTTTTTTATTAGTATACGTATTTATATGTTCTGGCTGCTTGAGCGAATAAAGAAAGTTGTAAAATAAGATTTGGCAAACAGAAATGATTAAAGTACAGGGACAGTTATTAAAAAAATATCTTGAACGCCATTGTCTGAAATCTAGTTTCTGCTCGTTTGTTTGATATTGATTTTAAAAAAGGAAATATCTTAAACGCAAATAGTGAAAAACACTCGCTTGCATTCGGTCTCATCTCAATGAGAATTTAGAACGACCAAAACGACCCTTAAACGTTAGGATTGGCAGTTATTCTGGTTTTGTTTTTTGTTTAAAAAACACCTAAGAAGAAAAGAGACGGAACATCTATTTTTGTTTTTACGTTGGCTATGCTTGATGTTGGTATTTGCTAAGTGTCTGCCTGCCATTTTGTAAGATAGAAGGGAGATAAAAAATAGTTTTATGGTGTTAAAATTTTATAAAAACTCCGTTGCCATTTGTATTAGGGCCAAAAACAAATGTTTAAATGGACGCATCGTCCATTATAACTCAAGTGTCACGGGATGACGAACAATTAAACAACTATGGATCCGACAGAGGTAAATCTTCAGAGTTACACCTGTTACCTATTGCCATCGAATTGGAGCGTATAAAGTTACCTCTCTGTGATGCAAAAATATTTTACCAGTGTATTTAATTTAAAAAGTGTTTCGTGGAAGATATTATCTTCGTATTATTAAATTGTGAGAGTGTAATAACACGAGGTAAACAAATAGAACGTGTAACCGCGCCAACATTTTGAGGAGCAACCTTGAGAGAGCAATCCGAGATTGTCAAATAATTGTGCTTGTGCCGTGTTCGTATTGGACTATATCGACTGGTTCATGTGAAATAATTGTTTTAGGAACGACGCCCAGCCAGCATAATGAAGGGGATGGTACCCCGGTGTCGGGGTCCACGGCTCTGGGCAGTAAGAAGTCGAGTGGAGGCGGAGGATTTCTGCGATCCCTTCTGTGTTGTTGGCGAGGTGGTAGAGGCAAGGGTCCGCCCGGCAGCAATGGTGCAAACAGCATCGATGGCCGGGCCTCTCCCCCTCTGCTGGTTATGTCAGACCATGCACCCCGGCCATTGTTACCACCAGTAAGACATCAGGACATGCATAAAAAGTGTATGGTCATTGATTTGGATGAAACTCTGGTTCACAGTTCATTTAAGGTAAGTTATTCTATGTTTATTATTTTTTATACTAAATATCTTATGAATAATAGATATAATCATCTTTTTAATGAATAAATAAGAAACCATTATTATTTATTATTATTTCACTAAAATCACAAAGGACTTTTTAAAATCGTAATATAAGTTAATGTTTGAAAACATACTAAATAACAAATTTACTTAATTCCCTATTTTTGATAGACATATCAAATCAGTACAAGAATAATAATTAAAAAGATTGTAAATTAATAATAATAATGCAATTTAAATTATGTTTGAGATAATCCACCGATGATTCTTAGATAGATTCGTCTCACCTAGCCCAGTCTTTATTTAAATTTCATTTCTATATAGGTTCTTGTAAGAAGCACCTTAACATACTGTCTGTGTGTCTGTGTTTCTGTCTATTTTCTGCTATTTCTTACAAATCAATAATGTAGATGGTACAGAGCAGAGGCAGGAGACATAAGATCAAAACAGATTGCTCTGCGCACTATATGTGTATCAAATCAATGTTTACACATAAAGTAATATTTCTAAAACAATGTTCTAATTTAGCTATAGCTATAGTCTTAATAATATTATAAATGTAAAAGTTTAGATAATTGGATGGATGTTTGTTAGAGTTTGTGGCTACGGAATGAATCTCTATTAAATTTGGCACAGATGTAGAACATAGTCTGGAAGAATACATAGGCTACTTTTTTAATCTGTTCTTCTAGTTTTGAATTAACTTTTTAATTTATGAAAAAAAAAACTCAATGTTTCATGCCAGTCATATTTATACTTTAGGTGACTCATTCAAATAGTTGAAACAATCAGACATGTTTGTAGTTTTTATTCGTCTATGCCCAAAAAACTGCGTAATTTAGAAACTTATAATGTTAATTTGAAGTGTTATTTTTTACATTACGTTAGCTAGATATCACGAGATGTAATTCTTAAAACTCTAATTTCGTATCATTAGTTATGCTAGTTGCTATTCAAATTTGAACTCAATTGACCCTTAATAAAACATACATTACTTTACAACTTTTGTGTAATATTAGTTTCCTCTGACGAAATCAAGAGAATAAAATTAAAAATTCTTCCTCTCAGAATTTAAAAAGTTAAAATAGCTTTGTAATGGCGAAAGATTTTTCAAAATCAGCCTTATAATTTTTAAGTGAATCCTAAATTTTTTATTCTTTATAATATTAGTAAAGTTAAGAGATTTTCCATTGTAAAAGTAAAAAAGGATCTTATTTTGTTTATATTATTCAAGGTTTACTTTGCCAGTGAACTTGTAAAGTGTAAAAAACTACACGGTTTCGCGCACGTGTACTAGCGACCTTCGCATGTCTTTAATTATTTTTATAATCTATATCTCGAACAGGACACATTTTCCCACGTTTTTTACAACGTAATCCTTGAATAAGAAGCGTAACTTCTCAAGTAAATTAAAAAAGATGTTTAAAATCAAAATTAGTTTTTTCTGTATACCATACTTATTTATCTGTATTCAGGTAGGTTTATTTGGAGGCAGATTTTGTAGTCTTATTCGAAGATTTTTTATGTGTTTTCAAGTTTTATAATTCTCCATGTGGAAGAAGCTCTTTACTCCCCCCTAACGATTAAATGTCTAACCACGACTAACTAATTTAATTTCTATTAAATTTACTAAACGCACGTTCTATGGCCTTTTTTTGGATAACAGTTTTTTTTACTATGCCCACTGAAATGGCAACTTGTTCGTCAAAATAAGGTGTTGTGAATATTATGTACTCATAAATAATGTATAGGTCATTTACAGAGTTTATTTATTCATGTAAACATCAAATCTTCCAGTATTAACATTTTAAGGGAATATCCCACCAAATTGTAAATTGTCTTGCAACAATGTAATGTGTAAAATATCGGATTTCGTTCCCTTATCTGACAGTGACGTCATTTTTAAGCTATTTGAGTGTCAGTCAGTGGTGGGACAGGCCCTAAATCTCATTAAAAACCCTTTTTCCTTGCCTGTAAACTGTTTTATACGGTAAGGAATTTAAAGCCTATCAACGACTCGTATCGTATCATATAACATTTGTAACTACTAAGTTATGTGACTGCATCCCTTTCAGACCAAAATTAGGGACATCGCAAAGTATTTCTGTTAAATAACAAATAAACAATACACTAACAGAGGTTAAGCCAACAAAAATAGACAATTTGGAGTGTTTCCTGTTAAGCCGATCAACTTTTCCCCTCCGATTTTTATCCCATTGACACACACAATAGGTTAAAAAACTGGTCATTCTGGGACTCTTGACTATTTCTTGCCATATTTCACGATATGAGGTCTAACGGCCGGTTTCCTAGGTACTTTTAAGTTAGTTAGTGTTTTTGGTTCGATAATTTCATGTAATGCGTTTCCGAACTTTTCTCTGTTGAAACTTACTTAAACCTATCACTAGTGAAGCAGACGTAATGATAAAATAAATGGAAACTTCAGCAACCCAGCATTACTGTAAATTATTGCAGGCCCTACTCAGTTTTGTAGCCACGAAACAACCAAACGGAAAACGGAAAAATTGTTAATCAGCACATATCTCGGCCACATACAGTTTCGTTGTTAAAATATCGTTTTTCAAATATTTTTCCTGCAAATAGACATTGTCGCGACGGGTTTCAGATAAACAATGAATAGAACGAACAGAAAAAACATATTTATTCACTATTGTTCATGCTAGATATTGTAGTGTTGTCATAAAAATGTTTTTAGCAGTAACATTACGGTATGTCCTCTTAAAATTGTTCCTTTTTATGTAAAGACTTGCTGTAGCTCGCGATTTCGCCCGCGTGTAATTAAAAAGAATATTAATAATAAAACATAGCTTATGTTACTAATAACGTGGGTTTTAAGAGTGAAAGAATTTTTGAAATCGGCCTAGTAGTTTTTGAGTTATTTCAATACATACAAAAATCTCTCTCAAAAATCTTCTCTCTATGATATTAGTATAAATAATTAAAAATTAAGCTTCGAGATGGAGTTCTATAAAGAATCTTTTATTAGATTTTTTATCAAATGAATATTAAAAAAATGTATTCGAAAATATTATTAAAAAGGTCCAACAAACTCGCCAGAGGCAAAATTACGTTGTGAGAAGCTTGTTCTTTGCCGGGAAGTTGCGGTACTGGCTTTAAAAAAACTAATTTCTTTTTTTTCTGTTCGCCTTTTCTGATTAGTCTTGCGTGTAATGGTTTGTGATAAAAGCAAAAAGGTATTATAATTATCATTTAAAGGTTTAAATTTTTAAATCTTGGTCTTCATTAAACACTATACGAATACTTAACCAATTTATTGAGCCAAAATGTCTTGTCGTCGAAACTAAAAAAATTAAAAAGTTAATATACATTATGGCGTGATTTTTATTTCTCTCACTCTAATAAAGGTCCTATTAAGACTTTAAATTTTGAATAACTCGCTTGTTGATTCTGCTATCGTTCACGCGTGGGTACAATCACCGACATAATTGTTTTAATTACAGACTTCTCTATATGTTCCGTTTCTGTTTTATATATTTATCATTTCTATCCGGTGTGTTGATAAGACCCGATATCGACCCTTATCATACACTTCAAGGGCATTCAACATTATTGTTTTGATTTCTTAATTCGATATCTTAGTTTACAAATAAAATAAAGTGTACACGATTATTATCTTGTGGGGGAAGCTAGAAGCTTGCATGCCAGTTACTGGTACTCCCACAACGTGTATGGTCAACCTATCACATAATCTGTTAACATGTCAGTAACTTGCGTGCGTGTGTTAACTTCTGGTATGTATATTTCTGCTGTATAGAAAAATTCAAATGTGTGTGAAGTCAACTATTCCGCAATCAGTTGACAACCTAGTCACCATAAATTAGGGTTGGCGCGTAATAATCGGTGGAGACGCGTTTAAACTGACATCGATACACGATCATATTTGTGATTGTTATTTGTTGAACAGATTATCATTGCACGTTGTTAATTTACTGTTATCTGCTGATTATTTATATTCCCACGTCGGTGTCGAGCGTGTGTCGCCGCTTATTGTTTCAATGCATGACTATGCTGATGGAGTCTACTGCACTTAAATAAAAAAGATAAACATAGAACCTCGTGACTGCTTGATATTGATACTATATTTGTTCCGGTTGTGTTTAGCAGTGGTAAACAACAAAACTTTTTTTTATAGAAAACGTTATACTGCAAAAAATACCGTGCTGTATTTACTACAAAAAAATGTTGTAGAGAACATTGTACCTACAATACTATCGTTTTATTGAGATAGACTAAACAATTATTCGACATTCAGATTATTCAAATGGTCGCTAAGGGCCACTCTTATTGTAGATTTTTTTTTTAAATCTACGCAAGGGACCGTGATTTCGAAAGTTCCAGTATGTTTGTTAAAACAATGTTAGTAGTACAAGTTAGCTATTTTTGGGAAATTTAATAACGTTTCATACGATCGTAAAATATTTCTCTAATTATATAATAGTTACAAGTACGTCTGTTGTACTTGTGACCGTGAAAATTAATGAACCAACTATGAGAATTGTATAAAAAACTCGACACGCAACCGTAAAGTAAGTAAGTAGTAAGTAAAACACGCATACAGTTACTGCATTGTTTTGTCATTAGAATACAACCTTGTCTAATTAAGTTAGGAATGCTAGTGTAATACTTTTATGGGTTGTTGTTACTATTTTTGGTTTACGAAATAAACCAATTCACATAACAATTAGTAAAATAACCCTACTAAAAATACTTTCCTAGATGTATGTATATTAATTTAATACGTTTAATCTGGTGATGCCCACACTAGGCAATGCCTGTATCGTGGGCACCGAAAACGGCAGTAAAAATCTTTCCATACATTAATTACTAAAAACCTACGCTTACGGCTTATTTCTTACACAACTTTGAAGATCATTTACAAAAAGGCTTGTATTCCTCGAATTAAGGCCCAATTTTAGTCGCGTTCC